TATAAAAAAGGATAATGAAACAACTCAGTTTCCATGAATATCTATTTAAGGATGAACTAGAAGTAAGAATTTCTAAAGCATTCTCTGAGAGGCCTCTGACACAGGATGAAAGCAATATTTTTAAGTACTCAGGAAGAAGAGTGTCTCAGTACTTTACTCTGAATGTGTGGACAAAATCCATGGATATATGCATTCAGGATATTTTAATATCCCTTCCTCTACAATCTAAATGCCAGCACTGGAAACCTTACTCTACCACATCTTAGCACTGTGAGCTTGGGAAAGTTATTTAATGTCTCCATGCCTCAGTTTCCTCACCTATAATGTAGAAATAGAGATAGTGCTTACCTCATAGAAATGCTGTGATAATTAAGCAAGTTTAAATATGTAAAATGCTTAGAACAATATCTGGCAATTGTTAAATACTATATGTAAGTTTGAATCTCACAATTGTTATTATTTTTATTTTCTATGGAGGTGATATAAGGAAGAGTTCGTAGACTATCTACTGAGGTCAACATAAGTTGATAGGTTAACGTAGATGGATGAAGTTGGTATTTTAAAATAGAAAGTGGTAGGGAGCTTATGAACTGAGGAATGCATTTCTTATCCAAAGGGCCATCAACCTTTCAACTTTAGCCAGTTGCTGCCATTTACAACACTATTCCAGTGGAGTTAGCACTCTTAACTTTTTAAAAGAAAAAACAACCATCTAAATTTTTGTAGAAAATCTCCCAAGTTTTCAATTTTGACAGCTAATTCAATTTTTTTAAGACACACTGGTCTCATCCAGCAATATCCGATTTTATTTTCTTGTGAAATTTTTTGTGAGCTTTATTCTACAGCTTCTATCAGATTCTCAAAGGAGTGTGAGCCTCAGGAAAGGGAGCAAACTCTCACTTTCGAGCATTGATAGTACATTATCATACCCCGGACCATGTGCAGTCCATTTTATTTTGGATCATCTTCTGAGGAGTTGTGGAACTCTGCATCTGGAAGTTCTCAAAGGCAATGAGGGAAATGAAAAAAGAGGGAAATAAAACCAGTCCTCCTCATGACTATCACTTCAATTGCCAGTATTAGAACCATTTGAAATGCCTCATAACATGAAGACATGAGGGAGACAAAAGTTAAAGCACTTGCTTCTCTATAACAAATTCTGTTTGTTTGTTTGTTTGTATTTTCTGTCTTATTTCCTGTTGGAATATTCTCCCCTCTTTTTCACTATCAAGAGCCATCCCAGGACAGAGTTATAAGTTAATGTAAATGTAAGTTGGATATCATTCATCTCCCAGGAAATTTTTTTGGGGTATGAGGAAGGTAGTTTAGGGAAGCAGGGAGTGGATTCTCTGTGTCCCAATTCCCAGTTTAAATATTACTTCTAATAATTGAAAAAAAGATTTGTTCTCTGGCTAATATAGTTAATTCATTCATTTTTGGCCTAACTTCCAGCAACAACAATAGAACAGTAATAACTGTCTTTGATAATTTACTCTCAATGTCAGGTTATCCATACAGTTTTTAGTGCATATGAGAGCCTTGAAGGCCTAAAATCCAAGTTGCCAGAGGATACTTTGGGAGAGTAACTAAACTTGCAGGATGTGTCACAGGGTGGGGAACACTGATGGAGCTTTCTGAGTGGACTAAATGTCTTGGAACTGAACATACTAGTGGTCAATGTGCTTTAGATATTTTTGCACTGCCACCATTAGAACCAAAGACTCAATGACCTTCGTTGTGTCTGTCGTTCAAGAATCACAATAAAAATAAAAGGATCATAATAGCCCAATGCAGTACTTTAATGTAATTATCTATTATCCATACTTTATTGAAATATTATGGCACTGACTTAAATAATTCATCTAGATGGGAAGGGGAACGCGGCAAGATGGCGACAGGGCAACCTGGCGTCTGAAGCCCGCTGCAAGGGAGATCTGCAGTGGGTCTCTGACTCTCGCCCCGGGGGGCTGGGGACCCCAGCATCACAGCCTGCTCTACAGATAGAGCTTGGCCACTGCCATCGGAATGACTGGACAGTTTTGACTGCATTCCAAATGGTCCCGCCGCCGCTGCCCCCACCCCTCTCCCCACTGCCACTGCCACTGCCGTCGCCGGCGCCACTGCCGCCACGGCCTCTGGGAGGGGTAGCATATCGCACCACACGGCCCAAGGAGAGCCACAACGAACAGCTTCAGGGAAGATCTGCTGGGATCGCTGCCACCTATCCTGCGTCCGAGACTGTCCTGCCCGCCCGGTGTGGGGCTCCTGTTGCCTGCTCGGAGGAAGGCATCCATCTTGTTCCTGTCCGGCCCCACCCCCTCTGGGGCGAGCAGATGAGATAGCACCACCTGCTGGCGATTCAAGGGAGTAAACCTACAGCCCCACTGCATGGACAGATTCCAAGACAGTGGGAAGTGGGTTCCACATTATCCACACACCTGTCAGTGAATACCAGGACCTGCAGACAGATTTTGAATCACAGCTCTCCCCTTAAATACATCTCAAAACTGCAAAAAGGACCACCTCCAACCTACAGTGCAACTTCAGAATTGAACAAAGTAAGAGGACATACATAAAGAATAGGAGATTGAACAAACAGAAGTAAAACCAATCCCTTTACCCCTGAATAACAGAATTAAAGAAGACGGTGATGTGGAAGGAAGGAAAAAGTGGAGAGGGGGGAAAAAACCGCACAAATGAGGAAAAACCAAAAGAAGAATATAGGTCCTACACAGACCCCTGGGAAATCAGACACTGAGAAAACAGATTCTGGAACACAGACAATGAAGAGTCCCCAGCATGACTGGTTACATGCAACAAACCCAGACATCAAGACATTAATGGAGAGAATTAAAAAAATTGAGGAGAGACAAGAAGAAAATAGGAAGGAGCTGTTGTCAGAAATGACACCAGTAAAGAATACTGTGATGGAAATGAACAACAGACTAATAAGCATGGAAAGCAGAATCAGCCAAGCCAAAGAAAGAATCTCAGAGCTTGAAGACCAAAACACAGAACTAACCCAAACTGTCAAAAGCATAGAAAAGAAGCTGAAAAAGACAGAACAAAACCTGCAAGAGATGAATGATCACTTCAAGAGACCAAACCTAAGAATAATTGGGCTTCCTAAGGCAGAAAAAGAAACAGAAGCCACGCTGGAACAAGCATTTCATGAAATCATTCAAGAAAACTTCCCACATCTCAATAAGGATGAAAAAATTCAAACACAAGAGATTCAGAGAACCCCTGCAAGACAACAAATGAGAAGATCAACTCCCAGACACATAATAATTCGCCTAAACAAAGTAGCTATGAAAGGAAAAATCCTAAAGGCAGCAAGAGAAAAAGGCCAGACTACCTACCAGGGAAAACCAATTAGAATAGCAGCAGATTTATCCACAGAAACCCTTCAGGCCAGAAGAGCCTGGAGCCCTATCTTCAAAGTTCTAAAAGAGAAATAATTTCAACCAAGAATAACCTACCCAGACAAACTAAGCTTCATTAGTGAGGGAGAATTGAAATCTTTTCCAGACATCCAATCCCTAAGAACCTACACTACTACCAGACCACCTCTACAAGAAACACTTAATAAAGTACTGAACACAGAAGAAAAAGAAAAAAGAACAACAGCATTGGTCACAAGAGTACAGGCAAAAGATTAAAAACACACATGAACCAACTCCAAAACCCAAAGAAAGACAACAAATAAACAGGATCAACTCTGTAAGAACCTTATGACAGGGATCAACTCTTGCATTTCAATTATTAGCCTAAATGTGAACGGACTAAATGCACCACTGAAAAGACATAGAATGGCAAAATGGATAAAATATCATCAGGCAACAATCTATTGCCTTCAAGAGACTCACCTCACTAGAAAGGACACCCACAGACTCAAAGTAAGAGGATGGGAAACAAACTTTCAGGCGAATGGAATACAAAAGAAAGGAGGAGTAGCGATCTTAATTTCAGACAAAATACCCTTCAAGCTATTAAAAATCAAAAAAGATACAGAAGGCCACTACATAATGATAAAAGGCTCAATCCATCAACAAGAAATATCTATCCTAAACATATATGCACCCAACATAGGTGCGCCAACTTTCATAAAGCAACTTCTTGGAAAACTAAAGAAAGATATTGACTCTACCACTATCATAACTGGTGACTTTAATACCCCACTCGCAACCCTAGACAGATCATCAGGACAAAAAATCAGCAAGGAGATCCAGAACCTCAATGTGACTTTGGACCAAATGAACTTAATTGATACCTACAGAACACTTCATCCAAAGACCACAGAATACACATTCTACTCATCACCACATGGAACATATTCTAAGATCAACCACATACTCGGCCATAAATCAAGCATAAGCAAATTTAAAAGGACCGAAATTCTACCAAACACCTTCTCGGACCAAGTGGAATAAAAATAAACATTGACACCAACAAAGTCCCCCCAAAACCCACAAAGACATGGACACTAAACACCATGATGCTAAACAACTCCTGGGTCAATGACGAAATCAAAACAGGGATCAAAAGATACCTGGAAACGAATGAAAATGAAAAAACATCTTACCAAAATCTCTGGGATGCCCTGAAATCTGTAGTAAGAGGGGAATTTATATCCCTACAAACACACATGAAGAAAATGGAAGGAACAGAAATTCACAACCTAACAAGCCACCTAAAGAAGCTGGAAAAGCAAAACCACAAAAACCCTAATTACAGCAGAAGAATCCAGATCACCAAAATAAAAGCCCAAATCCAGGACATAGAAGACAAAAAGATAATACAAAAAAATCAATGAAACAAAACGCTGGTTCTTCGAAAGGGTAAACAAGATTGATGGTCCGCTAGCTAGACTGACCGAGAAAAAATGAGAAAAAACCAAATAAACATAATCAGAAACACAAAAGATGAAGTCACATCTGACCCTGAAGAAATACAAAAGATCATTAGAGACTACTACGTACACTTGTATGGAAACAAACTTGAAAACCTTAAGGAGCGTGACGCCGGGTCAGGCTGCAGCGCTAGAGCAGTGCTCGTGCATAACTGGGGCCACACACACTCCCGGGTGGCGCCTTTAACCGCGAGCGACACATGCAGCCTGTGGAATCCGTGAGGTTCTGGTGTTGGTCTGAAGTGTTGATTTGTGAAAGAGCGAGTGTCGGTGACCCCCGCCATGGCAGGTCGTGGTCTTGGTGGGTTCCAGCGGGATGTCCTGGTTCTTGGACCTGTGAGCGGGACCTGC